CTTTTTTTAGTGAGATTTCTTGATAGTTAAACACTGTTAGTTTCTTTGGCTCTAAAAATACAACCAACTTAAAACCAATTGTGGATTGAAAATAGTGTCCATATTGAACATGTACAGACTTTTTTCTTGTCTTTATTCCCTAACAATACAGTATTACACCTGTTTTAGCATTTACATCGTATTTGGTATTTAGAGTATGGGAGTATATCTATAAGTTATAATTGTATCATTTATAGGAGGGAAATAAATTTCTGAAGATTTTCATATCCATACAGGGTACTCTACCTAATTCCTCACAGCTAGCAAGGGAAGCTATTTCTCTCATCTTGTAAAGTAGTTTTGCTTACATAAACAATTCTAGATTGGCCATTGCTGATACTAGGTATTTTGTAATCTCTCCTTCACTAATTTATTCTGAATTCATATTGCTGAAGTAAGACTCTTGAGGGCCCAGTTTAATAGCGTATCCTAAGAGGGTTGGTAAAATTGAGATTTGTGAATTCTTATAACTGTTTACTTTTAGGCTACCTCATTGTTTCTAGCATTATGAAGTTTGATCTTGTATTGTGTGTGTAATTCTTGTTTAGAGTACAGAATCTTTCTTCAATCTGTAGATTATTTAGTTCTGGAAAACTTTTCCAGTGTTATTTCTTCAAGTATTTCTTTTTTTTTTCTGGTATCTGATTGGGATAGATTGGATCTTATTAGTTTCCAAAATTTTTAACCTCTTTTTTATGATTTTTAATTAGCACATATTAATTATACAAAGGAAGGTTCATTCTGATACTTTAATTCATGCATATAATGTATCCCAATCAAACTTACTACCTCTATTAGTCTCTCATACCATCTCCCATCTAAAACAACTTCAACAGGACCCATGATATATATCCATCTATACAGATAAACTGCTTCAACCGTATTTATCTTCATTCACCTTCTCCATTCACCTTCCCTCTTCTATGGTAGATACTACGATAATATATTATAATAGGTACTATTCATTTTTTCTCGTTTCCTTTTCTTTTTTAATAAATTTTTTATTGTGAAAATACTGTACAGAGAGGTTACAGTTACATGAGCAGATACTATTCATTTTAAGAAATGGAAACAGATGGGCGCGCCAGTGGCTCATTCCTGTAACTTTAGCTACTTAGGGGGTTAAGATCTCATGATCATTGTTCTAAGACAGCCAGGGCAGGAAGGTTTGTGAGACTCTTACCTCCAATTAACCACCATCACCAAAAAGAATAAATAAGTAGAAGCCAGAAGTGGAGCTGTGGTTCCAGTGGAGTGCTAGCCTTGAGCCCAAAAGATCAGACAGTACACAATCCCTGAGCTCAGGCCCCAGGACCAACACACACACACACACACACACACACACGCACGCACGCATGCACGCACGCACGCACACGAAACATAAACTTTAACCTCTTTATTCAGTTTATTAATTTATATTCATTTTATGAATCATAATTATGAGTTATGCTTATATTATTTTGAAAGTATATTTTTGCTCTGTATATCATACAGAACACAAAAGAATTTAAGATCATGTAAATAGGTATTCTGATATTTTATAGAGTAAAAAGATTATCTCTTTTTTCTGAGACCCATGTTATATTTATGTTGCTTCAGAAAGCTACCAAAAATATATGTATACTTTATTTAAATGGCTTTTCATAGGTATAGATTTCTTTTTGCCTAAAAGTGACTGTATCTGCTTTCTCCTGAGAATCATTGAATCGTGTACAAATATTTTAATTAGGAAGTCTTTTTTTTTTAAGTGAAGCTTCTTTTTTTTTTTTTTTCCTGGTTGTGGGGCCTGAACTCTGAGTCTGGGCGCTGTCCCTCAACTCTTCAGCTCAAGGCTAGTGTTCTACCACTTGAGCCACAGTGCTGCTTTCGTTTTTTTCTGATTATGTGGGCCTAATGCATGCAAGGCAAGCACTCTACTACTGAGCCACCTTCCCAGCCCAGGAAGTCTTTTTTAAAAGCAGAAATCATGTTTAAAACTTTACTGTTTTCTATTTTTAGTTTATTCTGTATTTCATTTTCTGTTCCCCTATCAATTTTGTTTTTCATTTATCTAATATGATTATCAACTTGCTCCTTTTATATCTTTCCTTCTATAGTTTCATGAAGTGTTATTTTAAAAGCAGTAATTTTAACCAGGCAAAATTGAGTAAAATTTTAACATAATTGTATGATGACAGAGTTGTTTGATGAAAAATAGTAGGATACAGTTTTTGTGACTTTAAGAATGCTATTACATCCCATTTTTGTGAACTGTAAAATTACAGTTCAGACTTACAGTACCTCCTTTTTTCTTAGAAGTGTAACAAAACATAGATTGGAAAACATCACTGATTACTTATCATTTTTTTTTGTCCTTATATTAAGAGTACAATAGCCAGATCCTATGACTCACATCTGTCACCTTAGCTGAGATCTGAGGATCGTGGTTCAGAGCCAGCCCAGGCAGGAAAGTCTGTGAGACTATATCTCTAATTAACCACCAGAAAACAGGAAGTGTCACTGTGGCTCAATTTATAAACTATATGTAATAAAAATACATAAGTAGATAATAAAAAATATATAATAAAATGGCACATTCACAGGCATTTACTAGAGTTTTGTTAGCTGGCAAAGCAATTTGAGAGGGTTTTTGCTTATTCTGGAGTAATCTTCAGAGGGAAACACTTGGAATATCCTGTAAGGACTATTAGGCCAAGGTGTATTGCTTTTTATGTGTACAATAGGTGAACATGTTCTTATTCATGAGATTGAAAGAAAATATTAACTTTCTCTGCTCTTCTGGCTGGTCCTGTTTTTATTGTTTGTTGATTTGTAATACAGATGGATGAATTTAATCTTATCTTTATACCGGCAATCTTTCGGAAATACTTAAGAGAATATGTATGTGAGAGTCTTTTCTTAAAGAATGAAAAAGCTAGACTTAGTTCAGTGAATTGTAGCTCCTAATACTTATTTCTTTCCATTGAGACTTATTAGTTTGTCCAAACAATTTTATTGCTTAATAATTTGCTTCTTGGGCTGGGAAGGTGGCTCAGTGGTAGAGCGCTTGCCTTGCAGGCTTGGGGCCTGGGTTCGATTCCTCAGCACCACATAAGCAAAAAGAAAAAAGCCAGAAGTGGCGCTATGGCTCAAGTGGTAGAGTGCTAGCCTTGAGCTGAAGAGCTGAGGGACAGCGCCCAGGCCCAGAGTTCAGGCCCCACAACCGGACCAAAAAATAATAATAATAATTTGCTTCTTAGCCAGATGGTGATTGTACTTTTAAGTGGAAGGTCTTGGTTTCTTCATCTATGTACCCTAATAATCAGGAATGTGATACAGAATATTTTACAGAAATGTATAGATTTTCTATTTGATTTGAATGTTTAGGTGAACCAAGAAGTAGTTCTATACATAGAATATGAATTACCAAACATATAAAAATGAATTCAAGTTCTATCCATATTTTTTTGAGAAGAGTAAATGTATTTCTGTAGTGATTTTCAAATCTTTTCCCTCAATTTACACACTCTTGACAATTTTCTGTGTTTTCACTCATCAGAGCATATGAGTAAATAACAGGGTTAATTAGGCAGTGAATTTAAAAGGTCTAAAGAGGCAAGACTACAATTTAAAACCCCGAGTGAGAAAAAGTAGATGCTTTTTTAAGTGGCAAAGCAAGGAGTTTGATAGAGAGAAAAAAAGATTTCCTATTCCCTGTGCAGGAGTACATAGCCATTTTGTTGTTGTTATAAGTATGGAGTGAGCTACCATTTGTACACATTGTTGCTTGACACAAGTCAATGTATACATTAGCTCGAATGGATGTATTCCACATCTCTCCTTTTTTTTTTTTCCTCTTCATACATGTGTCATAGCTTTCAACAATCCTTGCTTCTCCTAGAATTATTTCAAGTGTTAGCTGGTGATCAATTCATTTAAATTGACTGGAGGTACAGGACATGTTAATATTTTGACTAGACATTGTAAATACTTTATAAACCAATGATTGAACTGCATTTATTGTGTGCACTCACTATATGCAATCTGTCCTAATTTATCATAGGAGGAAAATAAGAACTTATTTATGATACCATTTTAGGTTACCATATTAGCAAGAATTCTTATCATTGTGTCTTGGTCTGAAAAAGCTTTAACTGTGTCAGCTTGAAGAAATGTGTTTTTTCTTATGTCTTTCTATAATGGTGTTTATCTGTCATGTGGCTTTCAGATTCAGCATCAAGGAAGAGAGTGGTCCAGGCAACGATAGAATTTTAGAAAGTAGTAAAGTTTGTTCACAAATAACGTCACTACAAACCATAAAGTTATAAAATAGAAACAAAACAGCAAAAAAAAAACCTAGCAAAACAGCCGTTTGAAAAATTGACTTTCCTCAGAAGACACTGTTGGTTAAGCATGTTTTTGAAAATTTAATTCTCTACTTCTTGAGCTCCCTCCTCCCTTATTTTAATTGCCTTGAGTTTTAAAATGTACTTTCTTTTTTTTTCTGGCCTCCTCCACTCTTTCTGAAATAGATGAGTATGTTTGTCCCTTGTACCTATAGGAAATTCTTTCAGCATGGCCTTTAAGATGCTTTTGAGCTCAGCTGATTGAGGGAATAAGTTGACTACCACTGTCTTGTAAGACTTCAGATTTTGTACGTTCCCTTTGATGTTAGTAAAACATGTTATATTTTATGTAGCCACTCTTTTATAACTACCATTTCTATTCAACTAAATTCAAGTCTATTTGAAATAGTCCATACAATAAATTTTTTGTTTTCAAGTAGTTGTGAAACAAATCCGCGTGTATTTTGGTCTAGTTTGATATAGATCTCTTAGATTTTCAGCATGGAGTGGGGGAAGAAGTCCTGATCACAGTTCTCTTTCCTCATTTAAATTTCTCCTTTTTCTTTTCTTGCTTTTTTTGTGTGGATATTTCCTCAACTGTCAGTGGAATTATTGTCTTCCTGTCTCCACATTCAGGTAGTATCAGTGGCTGAGTATCACCGCAGGATCGATGCTCTAAATACTGAAGAACTGCGCACACTCTGCAGACGTCTCCAGGTGCCCCCTTCAGTAGTTTAAACCCCTCAGAGGTTACATAGTCCCTGGTTTTAGTCTTTTTTGTCAGGGCAAATCTCATATTTGAAGGATTTGTTTTGACTGAAGTGCTAAAATAACCCATCAGAAAATTCTTCTTTGTATTGAGGTATACAATGTTACCTGGAAGAGCTCTAGGATTATCTTTTCTGTCATCCTTTCATTTGAAAAGTATTCAGTGTAATTCTATCACTTCAGAACCCCCTCTCAGTACTCTGTGTTTCTTTGACTAATGAGTTTTCATTTAATTTAATATTAGTAGTCTTTGATTTTGTGATCAAATCTTTACTAAACAATCTTAAAGAGATAAGATTATGGGGAAATTTAAGTAAATTTGTTGGATAGCAAGTATTTTCTCTTCCTCAAGGTTATTTTGGTTATATGAACTCCCCCATCAAATATCTTAATGGGACATCTTGTTTTTATTTTTGAGGTATTAGAATAGTATAGGGTGGGCACCAGAGCCAGATGAAATTATTTAAAATTCTGTGAAATTATCTTTATTACTTTTTAGCAAGAAAAAAGAGATAATTGAAAATTCATTTTTTTCAGTTTTGTCTATTAATTTTGTGTTTTCTTTTAATACATATTCATGACTTGGGTAGAACTACTGAATACTTTTCTTTTAATTTTCCTAGTGTTTCTGGGTGTCTTTAACTTTTCACATCACTTAAATATGGCTAAAATGTTAGGCTGATGTGAAGGCATCAGTACTTAGCTTCTCATCAAAAACATTTCAGTTCTAGAACATGTATTGGTTGAAAATACATGCTATCTGGGTTTGATAAGAAATCTATTAGAAGAACAAAGTAATTGAGCAAGATTTCATTTCTGTATGGAATCAGTCACTGAGTTTTGCTGCATTTTAGTTATCTGCTCCAACAGCATTCTGCGTAATTGCTAATTAAAGTTTCTTTGCTAATTAAAGTTTCATCAATAATTGTTTCATTGCTTTTAATCGTTTTAATGTTTTATACAGTGTTTTATACAGGAAAATTAATATAAAAAGTAGACATTAAGAATAAACTACATTAGTGAGTATTTTTTCATTTTAATAATACTAATGAGATGATTTCCATCAAGTAGAAGAATGTGATCTAACCTTTAATACAGACTTTTAAATGACTTAACCTTGAAGATTTTATTTGATTAAAGCAGGTAATGATTCCGTGCGTAGAAAATGTTCAAAAAAAAAAAAACCCTGAAAAATGGTAACTTTCCAAAGCGCGTGCGCGTGCGCATACACACATGCACCAATGAAAAGAAAGTAATATTTTTTTATTGTACTGGTCTTTAAAAATTTGATCTCCAGGAACTTTTCTTCATCTTGACAGCTTCTGTGCTAAGCATGAAAATAATAGCACTATATATTTTAAAGAGCACTTAATTAAAAAGCAAGCTTGGCTGGTTTACTTTTGTACCTTGAAGTCAAATGAGTGCATGCAGCTATCTTCTATTACACATAAATATGAGGGCTTAGAATTCATTACCAGTTTTTCCTCATAGAGCATATGAGAAAACTGTCTTTGTTCTCAAATCTTTTTCTGCATTGAATAGACCAGTAGACAAGACATCTTTGCTTTAAAATCATAAGTGAATACTCTAATCTGTATTCTAATCTAAACTGTAAGTTTTAGTTAAAACAAAGACTTGAGATTCTTTAAAGAAAATCACAAAGAATATCATATTAATACATTGCTATTGTTTACATTTTAGATCACTACAAGAGAAGACATAAATTCAAAGCAGGTTGCTCCAATAAAAGCAGACCTGGAGTCTGAATCTTTTAGACCTAACCTAAGTGATCCCAGTGAACTCCTACTGCCAGATCAAATTGAAAAGGTATGATACATCTGCACAGGTGCATTTCTTAGTGTGTGTTCATGAGAATAAAACTGCCTTTCTCAATTGTTTTTGCTATGTGTTACCAGGTTACTCCTACTGTTACTCCATTCCCATAAAATGGAATAAGCACAATGTAGCAGGTGGTATTAATATAAAACACTAAGGAGATTTACAAAAGCAGAGGTTTACATATAAACTTGCCATTATTTATTTGTTTATTTGCTTGTATGTACTTGAAACCAAAATTTTGAATAGCTCAGTCTGGCCTTGAACTTGCAACCCTCTTCTCTTAATGAGCCAATACTATAATTAGTGGGGTGTATGACCACACCACACAATGCTCTTTATGTATGTATGCATTTCATCTCATGTAGCTATTAGAACAGCTGTAGGAATAGCTGTTGTTATTGTGCATTTTTTAAGTGACCCAAGTTTTCACACAGATCTAACTTGTTGAAAGTCACAGATCTATAAAAAAAAAGGTTTCTTCACTTAATATAATTTTTTCCAAGTCTTTCCATTTCCTAACAAATGGGGCAGTGTCATTCTGATGGAGGCATAGAATTCCATTGTGTATATATATCACATTTTCTTGATCCATTCATCTACTGAGGGGCAACTGGGTTGGTTCCATATCTTAGCTATGGCAAATAATGCTGCAATAAATCTAGTTGTGCTGGTAGCTTTAGTATGGTCTTGTTTGTGATCATTCAGGTAAATGCCCAAAAGTGGGATTGCTGGGTCATAGGGGAGTACTACGTGGAGTCTTTTGAGGAACCTCCATACTACTTTCCAAAGTAGTTGAACAAGTTTCCACTCCCACCAACAATGCAGTAAGGTTCCCTTCTGTCCACATCCTCTCCAGCATCTGTTGTTATTAGAGTTCTTGATTATAGCCATTCTAACTGGGGTGAGGTTTTGATTTGCATTTCTTTTATGGCTAGAGAGGTTGAGCATGTCTTTATGTGTCTATTGGCCATCCTTCTTTCCTCTTCAGAGAAGTTTCTCTAAGTCTTTATCTCACTTATTTATTGGGCAGTTGTTTCTTTGAGGATTTGTTGGGAGATTTAATTTTTTGAGTTCCAGGTATATTTTAGATATGAGACCCTTGTCCATTGTATGGCCAGTGAAGATCTTCCAATCTGTAAGGTTTCTACTGAGATTGCTAGCTATGTCCTTTGCCATGCAGAAGTGAAGTAAGCCAGGCCCAAAGAAACATAGGTCCCATGGTTTCCCTTATTTGCAATAACTAGTATATGTCTTAGACAAGAAGAAAAGGTCAGATAAGTTGATGTTAGGTGAAATGAACCCAAAGATAAGGACTCAAGTGGTTTTTCTTTCTTGCTATTGTTTCTAACCTATTTATAAGGTGATTTTTTTTGGTTGCTTTGTATGTCCCTCCCCCATGTAATAACCCCTGTTTTCATTGTATTTGATGTTGGTATAATTTGGGGAGGGTAAGGGAAAAAATAGTTTAAATAGGGATATAGGTGGACCCATTGCAACAATGAAAGTATAAGATGCTATGTCAAAAAATGAACTTTACAAGTTTGGCAGGGAGGGGGGAGGGGGGAGAATGGAAGTGGAGGGTAGGAGTAGGGGAAACAAAGAAGGAGGCAACAATGCTTGATAAGAAATGTACTCATTACCTTGCTCATGTAATTGTAACCCCTCTGTACAGTATTTTCACAAGAAAAAAACTTAATAAAAAAAATTTAAAAAAGATTTCTGATAGTGCAACATGAGTTATTAGTTTGGAGGTATTTGCTAATTATTTGTTTTAATTGTAATTTCTTTTAATTACATGCAGTTGACATTAAGCAATACATAATCCAGCATGAGTCTTTCATGGTAAACAAATAATATTTCATGAAATATCAGATTACTCTTCAGGCATCTCACAATCATGGAGAATAATTCCTATTGTTATTTTTATCTTCTATATTATATGTATGACTAAATTCCAACTTTTATTAATATTAATATTGACAATAAGCTAACATTTTGTTTTTCTAAGCTAACCAAACATCTTCCCCCAAGAACTATTGGCTATCCATGGACTCTTGTTTATGGTACTGGAAAGCATGGCACAAGTTTGAAGACCCTTTACCGAACAATGACAGGTTTAGACACCCCAGTGCTGATGGTGATTAAGGACAGTGATGGACAGGTATGAGAAACTAACTGTATCCATTACCTTACTTACTTTAAAGAAATTATATAACATAACTTTTGAATATTTTGTCAAGAAAGTATTTCATTGATACATATTTACTCTGTGACTGATAATTACTGTGTAATATTAATAAATTCTAGGCAATGCTGAATATTATAAAGGATAAATAGAAGCATGAACAGAATGTAATGTAGTACTATGTTTTAATTTTACCACTATCTCTGAGAAAGCTATGTTGCTATATATAGGATGAGCCCATCTTTCTCATAGCTATGAGAAAGATGAGAAAAATGAGGTTTGTGGAGCATAAAGTTTTGATAATGTCAAGTGTAGTAATTATAAGAATGAAACTTTAGGAGAGAAAAATACTAGTTTCTTACAATAACTTCATATTAGTTACAAGTAATGAGAAGAAATCACAGTATTGATACAAATTTCACTACTTGACTGATTACTTCATCTGCATTGTTATTTAGTCATCAAAAGCTCTACAAGATTAATACTCTCATTTCTATTTTAGAATTAATTTACACAGGTTGTATACTCAAAAGATATTTATACTAATGAAAATAAATGAAGTACTGCTACACATAAAAGTAGGGATAAGAATTGCGAACATTAAATTAAAATTCAAAATCTTAATACATGGTATTATGCTTAGTGATAATCATTAATTGAATTGTAAATTTATATTCTGTATGATTTTTTCTCTAAAATCATCTCTAAATCCAGGAGGTTTTTCTTTTAAAAAGTGAAGAATAAAAATAGAATGTCAAGAGAGACAATGACTATAGAGATCACCTGACATGCCCTATCCTCTCCCTTTGTAATGTGGCGCCTTAGGCGACTTGTCCAGCTCTCATATCCATTTATGGTTTAATAGGACATCTGATGTGTGTGTGGTATAATATGCAAGGCCATAGAGCTAAAGGCCAAGCAATTTAGATCAAAACCTAGCCTTACAGAATTTTCTGACCAGTGATGAAAAATAAATAACATACTTTTTAGTAGCAAAATGTTTGCTAAACTCATAAAGACATCTGCTTTCTTACAGTGACATCCATAGCAGCATGTGTCCTTCTTATGTATACATTATGCCAGTAACTGCCCCTGAAATGTTAACCCCATTGTAGATTTCTGTAATATATTTTTGTTTTCAAAGTAGGAAAAATTCTTTTCTCCCATTGAGAACCTAATATGCTTTGTATTTGGCAAGAATGTGAATTATATAATAATTGATATGTTTAAATAAAAGTTGGTAAAATTATTTCTGATCCCAGTTTTGTTTTCATTTTAAATATGTATGATGAGCTGGGCACCAGTGGCTCATGCCTGTAATCCTAGCTGCTCTAGAGGCTAGGCTCTGAGGATTGAAATTCAAAGCCAGCCTGGGAAGGAAAGTCCTTGAAATGCTTTTATTTCCAATAAACTACTCAGAAAAAGCTGGAATCAGTGCTGTGGTTCAAGTGGTAGAGCACTAGCTTTAAGCACAGAAAGGTTCAGGGATAGAGTCTAGGCCCTGAGTTGAAGCACCAGGACCGAAAAAAAAACAAATTATATATATGTATATATTTATATATATGTATATATATATATATATGTACATATATATGATGAAGTATAGTATTTAATGAAACAAGTTAATAGTCACATCATTGAACATGACCTTTTTGTCCTTAGGTTTTTGGTGCATTAGCATCTGAGCCATTTAAAGTAAGTGATGGCTTTTATGGTACCGGAGAGACCTTTGTTTTTACATTCTGCCCGGAGTTTGAGGTAAGGACATTTTTAATACTTTATTTATATAGTGATGGTAGAATGAGAAGCACAAGCACCTTGAATGATGCACTCAATTCAACTTGCATTTCTTTCTTATGCTGATAACTTCACTAGTTTAAACTTAGGCAGCTTTCCTGCAGAATAAAATGATATAAAAAGATTGTCAAAAATTAAATAAGAGGGCTGGGAAGGTGGCTCAGTAGTAGAGTGCTTGCCTTGCATGCCTGAGGCCCTAGGTTCGATTCCTCAGCACCACATAAGCAAAAACAAAAAAGCCGGAAGTGGTGCTGTGGCTCAAGTGGTAGAGCGCTAGCCTTGAGCTGAAGAGCTGAGGGACAGTGCCCAGGCCCAGAGTTCAGGCCCCACGACCAGACCCCCCAAAAAAAATTAAATTAAGAATCATGTGTACTATACCTGATCTGTTACCAGGCATTCATCATGGTGGCATACATGAGCTGGTGGCTCATACTTGTAATCCTACCTACTCAGGAGGCTTAGATCTGAGGATTATGATTCAAAGCCAGCCCAGGCAGGAAAATCTGTGAGACCCTCATTTCCAAGTAAGCACCAAAAACCAGGAAGTGTAGCTGTGGTTCAAGTGTTAGAGCACTAGCTTTAAGCAAAATAGCTTAAGGACAGCTCCTAAGTCATGAGTTCCCCAGGACCAACACCAAAGAAAGAAAAAAATACTGTGCTTAACTGGCTTGTCAGATTAGTCAGTTGGTATAGCTGAGAGCTCAGTTATCATAATTTGAAGCTTCAGGTTTACAAACCTTTGAATACTGTTGCTTCTTGATAAGTACAATAATTTGGCAAAGCAGATGAATGTATGAGTGTTAGAAAGCTTTATTGAAAATTGTAAGGAGTAAAAAATGTTATAAAGGTAAGGTGCTATAGGCTATTAAACTGTTACATGTAATAGACATTAGGTTTAGTTTAATCACCTCTAGAAGATTAGAAATAAATAATTAAGAATATTAATGTTTAATTTTGCCTTCAGATTTCTCAAATGTTCTAAGTTCTCTTTGTTCTTTAGAGAACAAATTGGAATAATAAATACACATTGTGAACATGGCTAATATAACAATCAACAGAAAACCTGTGCCTCCCAAAGAAGATATGACTCTCAGATATAATGTGCATTTATGTTAAAAGTTCAAAGAAAAGCTAATGTCAGAAGAGAGAAGTAGAGTCAGAAATGACTTCCATCTGTAGTGCCAGCTACTCTAAAGGCAATGATGGGAGAAAGGGTTATGGGTTCGAGGCCTGCTTGGGAAGAAAGTTAGTACATCTATCAACAAGCAGGCATTTTCTCTCATTCCTGTCGTCTCAACTCTATGGAAACCTGAAATAGGACCATCAGGGTCATATTTTGATCCAAGCCTGGGGAAGAAACATGAGATGCTATCTGAAATATAACTAAAGAAAAAGAAACAGAAAAAGATTCAAATGGTAAGAATATCTACCTAGCAAGTATGGGGCTCAGCAAGCAAGCAAGCAAGGGAGAAAAAGAGATGTGTGAAAAGTTATCAAGATTTGAATAGTTAGAAATAAATGTATAGCATGTGCTTTCAAATTGAGTCATATAGACACTGAAAACGAAGACACCAGTTCTTCTATGCTAAACTTCTTTGTGGTTCTTCCTGTTACTATCTGTTTAGACCTTGCAAACTCTATTGGGTTTGAGAGTAGTTATTTTTAGTACCATTTTTGTCTCTTTATTGAAAGCCTTTTTCCTCCCCATTCATGTAGGTCTTTAAGTGGACAGGAGATAATATGTTTTTTATCAAAGGAGACATGGATTCACTAGCTTTCGGTGGTGGAGGGTAAGTTTGTTAGATATTTCACTATGAGATTTTTTAAGGGATATTTTTATTATTGTTAAGTAGTTGTACAGAGGAGTTGCCATTCAACAAATCAGTTTATGAACATAATGTGTCTTATGAATACAATGTTACCCCTTGCAACCACACTAAGATTTTTAAGAAAGTTATAAAAATGCATTTAGATTATTTATAAAATAATCATTGGACTATTTTGATATTGGAATCTATTTTGTATATTTTGGCAAAGTATATAAGAAGATGCTCAAGTATAGAACTTAAATTGTTAATGGAATATTTATGTTTTTGTCCTACCATCCTATTTATTTAGTCCATTCTCTTTAAAAACCTATCTTCTTTAGAGCACAGTGTCTCTTAGCAATTTGAAAGGGAACTATACTTACAGCTTTAGACTTTAAGATTTTTCAAATAAATTTGATGTGTATTTTTCTCAGTGTGTTGGACAAGTTCAATAGTTACCTTGTATTTTCATCAATATTTTGGATAAATACTTTAGACAATAACAATTTATGTTTCTGAAAAAAGATTTGATAACACCCACATTCTTGGGGGGGGGGAGTTGTTTTGTTTTGTTTTCTTTTTCCCTTTAACTATCTAGGTCAATTTGATTCTTTTGACCTAACAAGAACTCCAACTTTGAGGAGCTATGTTTTCTTAATTTCTCAACTTTGCTTAGTGTCCAGTCCTTCTACCACATAACACATACTACTTAAATAGTTTTTAGCAAGCATTAGCTTTCAGTCTTTCAGTATCAGGTACAAGTATGTCAAATAATTACCAGATCTGTAAAAGTGTTTGTTACAGATATGTAATACCAGTTCATTTAGCCCAGAGTTTTATTATTATTCAAGAATATCATCCTCTATGATTCTAGCATTTTTTTATTTTCTCCATAAGTAAGCATTTGGAAGACATAATTACAATGATTAAAAAGTAACTATGGTTATTGTAGCCTTAATTATTTTTGGTTGTTGGACTCAGCAAATAAAATTAACATTGTCCACTTGCACTTCTTTTTTTCAAGAAGAATTTCATCAGCTCTCCCTAAAAGGGTAGTTGTAGATGTTCTTGTTAGCTCTTCAGAATAATAATCAACTATTACAAACTTTATCAATGCTTTTATAAATAGCATGATCAGGGGCTAGGAAGGTGGCTTAGCAGTAGAGTACTTGCCTTGCATGCATGAGGCCATGGGTTTGATTTACTCAGCACCACATAAGTAGAAAAAGCTGGAAGTGACACTGTGGCTCAAGTGGTAGAGTGCTAGTCTTGAGCTGAAGAGCTGAGGGACAGCACCCAGGCCCAGAGTTCAGACTCCATGACCAACATAAATAAATAAATAAATAAATATGCTCAATGTCATTAAAACATCTTCTAGAACTAGAGTTTGATTGTGTTGCATGATTCTACCAAGCTAACCTAACTATTGACTTATCCAAGGCAACAAGTTTCTTATATTTGAGGATAAGCATATATGTTCAGAAAATAAAATTTTCTGAGACTTACTATTCCAAAATTCTATTTAAGATTCCCATTATTAGGGCATTTTCTTTTGCTTTAACAAAATAGCTGAAGCTGAGTACTTTTAAAGAGATTTATTAATTTACAGATTTGCAGGCTGAAAGTCCAGATTAGGTCGCCCATTTGTCTGCTCTTTGGTGTGGGCCCTTTGGCTGCATCACAACATAACAGAGAAGCGGGAAAGGAAATAGCTGTGTGCAGAAGAGATCAGGTAGCACTAGACAGGAATGGTCGGGCCTGACCTAAAAACTCACTTCTCCTGAAACTGGGGTTGCCTGAAATGGTCTCCCTAGTAATTCAAGCATCTCCTAGTTGGCAATATCTCTAAATTTTCAACTCCTCTCAACAGTCATATCAAGAATCACTCTCTGCACAACCTTTGGGAGAACACAATGAAACCATAGCTTCCAAACTCAAAATCACACAGTGTAGTAGATTTAATGTAGGTTTGTAGTCAGATAGACTTGATTCAGATTCTACATTCTACACATCCTAGCAAAAATTTTTCCTAACTTCTCCATGAATTACTATTAGACATAGGAGACCTTGAGCATGTTCCTTAACAGTTCTGAACTTTGAGGTTTAAATTGGAGACAATTAACTGAATGTTGTAGAGTGTTTGGATGGAGTAAGGAATTCTCAAAAGATAGAGTCACTATATGTATACATTTTAATGTAATGTCCAACATATAAGTAGGTATTCAAGAGAGACACCTTTTCTCATTTCTTTCCATGCATTTTCACTTTTCCCATCTGGTACCATAGCAAGAATATTCCTGAGTTCTGCTTGAAATATCTTTAGACACAGAAATTAAATGATAGTAATTAAGAATGTAGAATACTTTTTTCTTCTTCCATAGTCACTGTACTTAACTAATTCTATTCCGAAGATCTTAAAGGATTTTCCACAGTTTTATGTAGATAGTGCCCACTGAGTGGGCTAATTATTTTTTTTTCAAATGAAAATATCCAGGAGATATCTCTGGACATTATATTATGTATTGTATTGTGTTTGTCCCTTCTTCCTTCTTCTATGGGGTAAAAAGAAGTTTTTATAGGATAGAAATACACCCTATCAAAACTTGTTTTTTCTCCTTACATATTCCAATAAGATATATTGGGCCTTATTATCTGTCTTTTAAATTCATATTATGTCTGCTTTCTGTCTGGTTCCCACTGTATTTCAGCATCAGTTTTTAATGTACTTAAAATTGTTTAAACTGACCTATTTGGCCAGCAACCCAGAAAACCAAAACTTCTTACAAAGTTAAAATGTCCGGAGGCGGGTGGGAGGGGCAGAGGGGAGGGACTCATTGCTGACACTGATAATCTTTTTAACAAAATTACTCTTTCTAATTACTCTTTATAAATATCTCAAAGAAATGTAGCTTCATTTATCAAACTTTTAACAGCACATTTTATTTTGCTTCTGTTACTTTAAACCATGTTACCTATATATGGCAAAGTAAAACTATTGGAGAATGTAGTTTAGTAGAGCAAGTACCAAACATTTGATCCCAGCACCACACCTACAAAGAGAAACTTGTAACACCAAGTGAAGAAGAAGAGAATGTGCCTGTCTTAAAAGCTAGTTTTGATGGATTCATTCCTTAATCTGTGTACCAAGTGATATTTTATGAAGGATTGTAAAGAAGATTTCTGTGTTAGTATCATAAAGAGTAGTAGAATAGGCTTGGAAAAAATAATTATCTTCAGTATTTGGACATGAAATACCTTAATTAGATTATTCTATAAATTAAGGTATGCTTATTAAGAGTGTTATTTTATGTATTTCAGTGGAGAATTTGCCCTTTGGCTTGATGGAGATCTTTACCATGGAAGAAGCCATTCTTGTAAAACATTTGGGAATCGTACACTTTCTAAGAAGGAAGATTTCTTTATCCAAGACATTGAAATCTGGGCTTTTGAATAAATACAGTGCTCTCTGTCTTAGCAGGATAATGGCCCAAACCTGACATGGACAGGCTTTATTTGGAATGTTCAAGAAGCAATACAACGTAACATGTCACTAGTGCTTTAAAATTAGTCTGTATTACCATTTATTACAGCTATAATTTTGAAGTTTGTTTTTCAAATCATGTACCTGTCCTAAAGTTCTTTAGGTTTAGACTATAGCCTGGGTCCGCATAGTATAATAGCTGGAGTTTTGTCAAAATTTTGGTGGCATTTTGATAATTATTGTGACCACTTCATTTTCAATTTATGTTATCTCAGACTCCTAATAGGATGGTGCTCTTTTGTTGACCCCTTTTATTTATTTATTTGAACTATATTGTTTCTTTTGTCTAGCATTCTAACGGGGCATTGAGGAAATGAAGCCTAGATGCTTTCATGTCTATGAGGTTGGCACAGGGGACAGTAGAACCCGCCTATCTTACTTTCATGAAAGACAACCCACATGCCAAAATCATACTTCACCGTCCAATGAGTTCTAATTCTGATTCACACTATAGCATTCTCTATTAGTTTTACAAGTATTCTCAGTTTCATTTTAAGGAAATGAAATTTGAGGAGAATTCTAATCATAAAGAGACCACAGTACGCATGATCTACAGGTTTGGGCAAATGGCTTTCATCATTGACTTTTCAGATAAAGATTCATAAATTGACAAAGGAGAATGAGAACTTAATGATTCTATTGGATTTAATATAGTAAACAAATTCTATTTACATGTTTGTAGCTTAGTAGAGCATTATCATAAGTATAACAACTATGAAACAGATACATATTTCTTCAACATATTGTGTCAGGTATACCGTTTTATAGTTCTGTTATAGTTCTGTTGTTTTAGCCTTGTTGCATACCAACTTCAAAAATACAGATTTTTTTTTCTATTCAAAAGGAAAAAAAATTGTGATTTTGTTTTTTAAGTGATACATGTTATTTCCATTAGCATTTGCTCTTACAAAAGAGCAGTAATTATAGTAGACAATATTGTAAACTCATAGTAGACAATATTGTAATTCAGTAGACTTGGTGAATATGCAAATTTACTGTCAAGTGACCTCAAAAAATGAAAAGATAGAATTAACTAGTAGTTCTTATCCTCTTTTGTAGGAAGCCAACAATAAGCCATTGTGGCAATAATTCATCAGTTAAATTTCAGAGCTTCATGTTATGCAAAAAAATAAATCCTGCTGTTATACATGTGACAATGACTTTGTGCTGAAATCTCAGCGATTCCAGATAAATGTTGTATATCTTGTAAATTAATGTTTAACAGTAGTTTTGTTCTTATAGAAAGTGTTGATTGCCAGGTTGCTTATAGCACTTTATTCTAAAGATAAAATTATAAGCCAAATATGTTGGCTTGAATAGTTTTAGTTGTATAACACCTAAATATATCTAGTTCATTTGAAAGTTAAATAAGAAAAGCATATTGCTAATCAAAAAGAAAATCTGATATTCTATTATATTATGCTATTGCTGAATATGAATAGAAATACAGGGCATCATTTCCTTGTCTATGTAAAAGCTCTCTCACTGTAAGTTAATACCAGTATATAGGTTAAATGTTTACATATAAGGACTTTGTAAATAAATATATTATCCCCCCCTTGGTCTTCCACAGCAGTATTATTGTCTTTGTGGAGTTGACTAATCATAAAATATTTTTTTTAATCCTGTAATGGGTTTCACCTCCAATAAGGTCATAGTGGTATATACCAAATAAAATTAAATGCATACATACAAACTTGAGTTTGGATTTATTCAACAATCAAGTTATTTTCATATCTAAGAACTTTTACAAAACATATTTCTCTTTTATATTAACGATAGCATGGGAAGGACACTTTCATGTAGGGGCAGCACCAAAGTTTAAAAAATGGATATAAAAGAAGGCACTTGGCACATGAGGAAATTAGTCATTTGCTAGTTTGGAACTATGTTTTCATTTTTATTGGGTAGAATATAAATGTTATAAAGATATTTTTTATTACAATACTGAGAAAACAATTTCCATGCAATTAGGAAAATTTGAAAGGAAGAGTGACATCAGATTTTCACTTAAGGAAATACTACATTTGTAGAGGTAAAAACAAGAAGGGAAAAATAAGCCTGTTTTAAAAAACAAAAATGGTGAGACGGTGGGCTGGTTCCATTTGTTGCATAGAATTTTCCTTTGCAGATGTTCACGTTTCTGGCATCTTTGTCATTCTGGGAACTCCATTATAGGTTAGACTTCATTTCTCAAAGAATGACTTCAGGAATCTTCACCCTGCTACACATTAGCCTCAAAGGCCTTCCTTTATTATCTACATAGAAGCCTTCAGGATTCCATTCTGTGTGCTGTATATCTGCAAAACTAGCCTCATGTAAACAACACTAAAGCAATGAATAATGAGGTATGAATAAGAATAGTCATAATGGTGATAAGGAAGGGAGGCATTGATTTGGAAGAAATTTCGGAATTAGGATTAATGAGAATTGATTATTGATTTTGTGTCAGAGGAATTATAGATAGTTCTCAGGGTTTTCACTTAGAGACCTGAGTGTATTAGTCATCCATATGGACCAAGCACTACAGGTACAAACAGAAGATAATTTGTAGAGTCTGATGTGCTGTGAGAAACTGGGGAATCAACTTGAAGGGGGGCATTTAATATTTGAATGATAAGAAGATGTTGATTTGAACCTATACCTACTTATGACATGTCCTTGGGGATTATTGACTGGATCAAAAAAGAGGATCCCTGAGATAAGGAGAAAGCAGAAAACAAGCCAGATGTATAGATGTGGCCATGTTTTACCACCTGGTGACAGTAAAATCTGCTCAGAATTTCCCTAGTTAGGATGTGGACACAGTGGCAGCAAATGAATTGGGATCAGAAAATCACAGCTCATCAAGTTATGAAATTTCAAATCAAATGTTAGAATGGAGGTCCAGACAGAAGGGGTAAGAAAGTACATGTCAATGTATAGATTTGATTTGGAAAAGGATTATCTTGAAGATTGAACATTCCATTGTGCATTTCTTATTATTAGACATTTAGAGTTATCTATGATAAAATGTAATTTTTATGCTTTTGATGACTTTAGTTTTTGCCAGTCCTGGGGCTTGAACTCAGGGCCTGAGCACCACCCCTGAGCTACTTTTGCTCAAGGCTAGCACTCTACCATTTAAACCACAAAACCAGGTCCAGCTCTTTCTGTTGATGTGGTACTGAAGAATTGAACCCAGATCTTCATGCTTACTAGGCGAGTACTCTACCACTTTCCAGCCCAATCACTAAAATTTTTATGTGAATTTTTAGTACCTTTTTTGTTGAATTCTACATTTTTTTCTTGCTCAAAATGTCCAAAGTTTTCAACAGAATTTCATTATCATGGATATTCCAGAATAATACTTTGGATGAAGAATGGATTTTTTTAAATTTCAAATTAAGAAACTTAAGACAAGCAAATAAAATATTTGGCATAATAGTAATATTCGATAAAATATGAAACCCATAAACCATGAGCTATTGCTCTGTTACAAGTCAGATATGTTGATATCTATCACATGACACTTTGAGACAGAACAATTCACTCCACCTAAGGATGCTACTTGGAGCCAAATCTTATTAGAATTAGTGAATATCAATTTTTGGGAAGAAAGCTGCATCCTTTGAGCTCCATCCTCAAATGCAAACAAATTGAACTTCAAATAACCTATACCAGTGTCTGCAAAAGCCTATTTGAAGCTGAATATGAGGGACCTCTTAAAGCCTTGGTATAAATACTAATTTAGGAACAACCTAATGTATACCCACCAATTTTATTGGATTTCAAACAGAAAAAGGTGACATGATGAAATGTCTTTTAATAGTATAAAGAGAACAGAAATGTAAGAAAACGTTTTTTTTCTTTTTTCCTCTTTTTTCCTGAACTCGGCCTGGGCACTATCCCTGAGCTCTTCAGCTCAAAGCTAATACTCTACCACTTGAGCCACAGTGCCACTTGTAGCATTTTCTGCTTATGTGGTGCTGAGGAATCAAACCCAGGGCCTCATGAGTCACCTTCCTAGCCCCAAGAAAGCATCTTTTATTCTTAAGCCTTTTATTTTCAAATTTTGACACAGATTTCACATATAACAAATGTGTATCATGATGTGAAGTATTAGTTATTAATTTGCAGTCAATAGCTTTTTTATAAATCTATGAAAACAAAAATTACATATTCTCTTCTGTAAGAAGATATTGGAACTTTCAGTTTGAAAGAGAATCATGCATGAATAAAAACAATTCTCAAGGTAATTAGAGCACTTTTAAATCTAAATTTACCCATTATGAAGTCCTATTACTTTGAAACTCAGTAGTTTGATATTATCTTTGTTTTTAACAGCAAAGAAATTACAATTTTATTTTGGTCATTGCCATTGAATTTAGTAAGAACTGTAATCTCACATTTTATTCAATTTGTTTTTAGGACTACATAATAGATATTCAGTGTAATTAGGGAGGAAAGTTGATTACAAGTAGATTCAGCGCCAATTTTCTCTTTGCCAACCATCGTTAATTTTTTTAACTTTGTCAAGACAAATATTACTGATTTTACCCACTTCATGAAGTTGTTAGAATATGAAGAAAATCTTATAACTTAATATGCTGTTTCTACAATAAACATTGTGCTTTGTAGAACTTTTTGTATGTTCTCTCGTGTTTTGACATAAATGTAAATAGTACTATTAAGTCTTTGAAGAAAACATAAACTCCAAAAAGTCCTACCAACGCTGAGTAGTAAGTATTCCATGGTGTATATATAACTCACATTTTCTTTATTCATTGGTTGTTGGGCACCTCAGCTGATTGGCTATTATGAACAGGGCTATAATAAACATAGATATATATGTAGCAATCATATATTTATTTATTCTCCTTTGCATGAAGACAGCATAATCAAACTCATCAGATGCTATTAGAGAGGGGAAGAAGAGGGAGGAATAGGAATAAGGAGGAGGTAATGAATTTGTTCATGTGTCTGTGGAAATAGTACAGTACAGCCCCTTCATACTACAAATGTATACTGCTTCAAAAATAAGATATTTAAAAAGTCCTACAAAGGCCAGCAAATCTGAATCTCTACCTCTGCTTTCATAGTAAACATAACAAGCCATCTTTCTTATTGGTTCTTAGACCACTGGTGTCTTTTTATGTGATTTGCTCGAATCAGCAAGAAGGTTAACTCTAGGTACCTAATAGAATTCAAACCCACGCAGGAACTTCAACAGTTTCATCATTTTGTTGAAAATTTGTGTTTTTGTTAAGTGATGCTGATTTTTTTCAGTTAGTACAAAACTGAGCTTCTTAAAAAATTTCAGTTTAATTTTGTCAAATGTAATGGAATTTTCTCCTAATAACTTGATACCATATTGTGTTCTAATTGTCTAAGTCTAAAAATCTTAAGTGTGTAATTAGAAAATCCAAAAGTCTATAATAATTTTTGTAGCAAATAATTTTCTCAAATGTAATTGGTAACTTTAATATTAATACTCAAGAATAGCATTCTGAGTGTGCTCCATGAAATGCTTTGTGCTTTCTCTATTGAGAATATTTAAGCTTCCTCATAGTTTAAGCATCAACATGGCATTGATATAAAAGTGATTTAATATTTACCAACTTAGTAAAGAATGGCTTGCTTTTTAACGTTTTTGCACAGTAGCCCTTAGCAGTAAGCCAAATTGTGGGTCCAGTTTCACTTTGTTGATTACTCTAATAGAGTTATCACAACGTGGTCATCTCGGCCTTGCCACAGCATTTCCCCTTCAAAGTGCACCAGTCCGTGTTTCCTGGCACGCATGAGGATCCCCACTACTTTATCTGAAATTCGAACGTATCTGTCAAAGAGTTCTCCAAAAGTCACTTGGATCCTGCCATCTCGGCTGTGGCGAGCCATGGTGCGGATCACAAAACACAGCTCCATAATTTCTCTGTAGATGTGTTCCTCTGCTCGCTTGGCTCGTTCTGCTGTTTTGCTTCCCTCCTTTGGACGGCCATAGCCCTCATCTCCTCTGTGTAGGCGAGTCGACATGGCTAGCTCATAATCAAATTCTTCACTGAAGGGATTGAGCTTCTGGGACTGTATGTGTTCATCAGCCCACTGTTGCCATCTGCCTTTGAGGTTGTCCACCTGGCTGTATTTCCGATGAGCCTTGCAATTGAGTTTCTCTGTGTATCTGTTTGTTCTAAAGGAGAAATTAATATGTTAACAACCATCAATTTCCCTTTTACTTCCTGTGTACAGGTTAAAATGTAAGTCTTCATAACTTTTTTCCATTCTAAAACATACGTAACCTCACTATAAAAAATAAAAAAAAAAATCTCAGAAGTGCTGGGTGCCAGTGGCTCCCTTCTGTAATCCTAGCTACTCAGGAGGCTGAGATTTGAGGATCATGGTTCAAGGCCAGCTCTGGCAGGAAAGTCCATGAGACTCTTATCTCCAATAAACCACCAGAAAACTGGAAATGGTGCTGTAGCTGAAGTGGTAGAGTGCTCACCTTGAGCTGAGGACCTCAGGGACAGCACCAAGGCCCAGAGTTCAAGCCCTATGACTGACAAAAAACAAACAAAAACTTAGAAGTAAAAGAAAGGCAAATCACATTCTTATTGTGGCGTATGTCCTACATTACATATGTAACAACTTTAAACACTATAATGATATTAAACTTATTGATCTTACATGTTAGTAACATTAAAGAACTAGAGTGATAGGTTAGGTAAACTTTATTATGTTTTTTTATTCAAGAATGTATTTTTTTCTTGCTGCTTGTTTTACTTATTCTTTTAATTATCATTAAGTAGCCATACACAGGAGTTGCCATTTAACAAAAGTGTATGAATACAATTGTCTTGATCAGTGTCACCACTTTAAGCATTCTAACCCATTCTTCCTTTATTCACCCCTTCCCTCACTCTTCATTATTTTGTAAGATATACATTATATTACTGACTGAATTCTATATCCTCTTCATTTGTCTACCCCTTCCCAGTTCCCACTTCTGGGTGTTTTATTGTAGGATATCTGAAGATATTTTCCAAAGATGAGTTTTATACCACCGCATGTACATCCTACTAGTCATGTATACCTTTCCTATGTGGATATTTCACAATAGCGTATTGTCAATGGTACACCAAAAACTACAACATCAAGTGATGAGAAGCCCTGTAGAGAAATAACATGTTAAAAAGGGGGGGGGGGCATATGCTGGCACCTCATTAATAATCTGCATCTCCAAAAAGAAAAAGTCCCTGTTTCATAGATGGGGACGCTGACGCCAGAGTAGCTTCCTAAAGTCCCCAAATTGTTAACTGATAGAACTAGATTTTTAACTAGTTAAGCTGGCCAGAGAGCTTGTACACTGTGATTCTGTGGCTGAGGCAAGATCGATGTCACCTGCAGTGTTGCCGTCCAGCCTTCAGGTGCAGTATCTAATGAGTGTGAGTTGTGTTTCAAATATGTGTATATCCGTGGAATGTCGAATGCATTTACCTACTCAAAGGCAACAGCATCTTTGGAAGGTATACACCCATAGTGACCTGAGTATATAGACCTAATTTTACAATGGTCAAATTTTGGCTTTTTCAGCCTTTCCAGCCACTTCTGTGTGTCTTAGACATTTTTCTCTGGTTCTCTTTGTCATCACTGGTAAAACATTTTTATTGTCAGTGATCTCCCTTCTCTCCAGCAATAAATGCTCTCATGCCTGGAGGCTTTTGGAAGGAGACATTGAAGTTAGTACAGACACTGTAACCAGCAAGCCTTTACTGTTTGAACTCTCAACTGTTCACCACTCAAAATCCAAGATCAGAGTTGGGTACTTGTCACTTCTTGAAATCTGCTTAAGAATTGCTCAGGAAGGGGAAGTATGAGTTCTTGAATCATACTATAAACAGATGTAACAAGTCTCGTGCCTCATAAAAGGCATGAGAACTAGACTCTGAGTAGATGGCCTTGAGCTTGCTCATCATGGTCCTAGAGAGAAGAGATTGGTTCTCCTTTGCAGACCTTGTAACTGCAGGAACCCAAGACATACTTAGAGGAATCCACCCTTGCATTAATGGAGTTTTCAGAAGAGAAATGACATCCACTAGATGGCAAACTTTCATCAATTCCTGAGCTGAGCGTGGTTTCCCAAAAGGCCTGTTATTTTTACATGGTCTCACAATAGAATTGGAATGTAATGAAGTTAATTAAAAAAAATGTAAACTACAAAAACTATATGCAATTAACATCCTAAATACATGAAAGATGCCAGTCCTGCTGGTGTTCGCCATCACCTGCCTTACCATCAACTGTGCCTGTTTACCTGCTCACGTTATGGGTTTCCTGATTATCAAAGTAAGCAAGGCTTTGTCCCTTTGGAGCCTTGGTTATAAAGACAGGCATAGTCATCAGAAGCAGCTCAGGACCATCTTGGCAGAACCAAAAGCTCATGTTCTACTTGAAGCTGGATGTCCTACTAGGAAAGAGCTTTGAAGTAGTTTAGAAGAAAGTTAATAATATGATTGATCACCTCAAAATTTGCCTCCTGAGCAACTGTAATTTGCTCCTATATTAAATGTAACACAACCTACCTTTAAGAAGTTTCTGTGCATTTTGACATTCCTTCCATCCCTTGTTATGATACCCACTAATCACTGATTTAGATACCTACCGGATATTCAATAATGAAAAAAACAGGAATAAACTCTTAAAAGATGTTCGTGAAAATTGAAGTAATAAAAATCCAAGCTCATACTACAATTTCAACTATAAAGTCCATGTTCAAAGTAGACTTTAAATGCATATGCACAAATGAAAATTTATGTTGATATCCAGATGAGATTGGATTTTTTTTCTTCCCTGAGGTTATCCAAGTCTTAGTATAAATTGGAACTCCTTTTATTGTTAAAAGCCACCCAGGCCAACTCTGGTGGGCTACACCTATAATCCTAGCTAGTCACAAGGCTGAGACCTGAGGATTGTGGTTCAAAGCCAGCCAGAGCAGGAAAGTCGGTGAGGCTCTTATCCAGTAAACCAGCAAAGAGCTGGAAGTGGATGGAGCAATGGCTCAAGTGGTAGAGTGCTACCTTTGAGCCCAAAAGCTCAGACGGCACCCTGGCCCTGAATTCAAGCCCGAGGACTTGTTATTACACTAAAGCTGACTTCAACAGTACATGCTAATTTAAAAAAATCTTTTGGGGAGGATAAGTATGGGAGGGCACAGATGATGGGAACTAGACACCGTTGAAAATGATCTATACAATTCGTTGGGTAGGAATGGGAGGGGAAAACTGGGAGAGAGCAAGGGAAGGGGTGACATTGGCAACAAGAAGTGTACTCTTTGGAAGTGGGCACTGGTGGCTCACACCTATAATCCTAGCTACTCAGGAAGCTGATATCTGAGAGTCACAGTATGAAACCAGACCAGGCAGAAAAGTCCCCGTGAGACACATTTCTTTTTGCCGCTTGAACTTAGGGCCTGGACACTGTCACTGAGCCTCTTTGTGCTCAAGGCTAGCACTCTACCATTTGAGCCACAGAGCCACTTCCATTTTTTTTTCTGAGTAGTTTATTGGAGATAAAAGAGTCTCAAAGACTTTCCTGCCCAGGGTGGCTTTGAACCACGATCATCAAATCTCAGCCTTCTGAGTACCTAGGTCTTACAGGTGTGAGCCCAAGATTTGATTTTCTATAAAGATTTTTTATACTGATATTGTATTATTTAGTTAGCCAGTCCTAGTGCTTGAACTCGGCTTGGTGCTATATCCTTGAGTGCCTATTTGCTCAAGGCTAGCACTCTACCACTTGAACCACTACTTCTGGCTTTTTCTGTGATTACTTGGAGATAAGAGTCTCACAGACTTTCTTGCTTGGGCTGGCTTCAAACCATGATCCTCAGATTGCTATCTCCTGAGTAGCTAGGATTAAAGGTGTGAGCCACTAGCATCCAGCTTGTATTATTTATTGTTAACTCAAAGAAAAAAATAGGAAAATGCTCAAAATAGCAGAGGTCAGTTAATTAAATAGTGTTACAAGTCTGAGTGTTTTGATGTTTTTCTTCTGCCTCTAATTAAGAATTGCCACTATCTGCATCTTGAAAACGTCTTTTGGAGTAAGGGCTGAGTTGATGTAAAGGAGAGAAACATTTGTCTTCTAAAAGAAGACAATTTCCAACTTCTGCGCAAAGTGTTGCTAATTCATTTCATAGAGCATGGCATAGATAGGTGCCCATTTATCAGAAACAGAATGATTGTGTCTGAAAATCAGTATGGTCACTTCTGAGCAGCAGTTACGCTTTCTCTTCTGTTAACTAGATTAAATACCTAGGACTCTGATACTCTGTGCAGATTGGTGAATGTCCCCTGAGTCTGCGGGAACGTTATCTTCTCCAGAACTTGGGACGGGTGGTAGAAGGACATGACTTCACCTTTTCCTTCTGAAGTCCTTCAGGAAAGTTGTACTGAAACCCTACACTTGGGGAGTTACTGGAATCACTTTATTTCCTTAAGATCTCTACTGTGGGTGGGGACAGGAGGGAATACCTGAGAGAGAGCAAGGGAAGTTACCTGACTAAGGTAACTGTAAGCCCTTTGCACATCACCTTTATAATAAATATTTTTAAAAACTTATCTACTGAGAGCTTGGATCTCTTCGCTTTCTAGTGAGAGTGTGGATATGGCATTGTGGTTTAGAGCACCCAGATTTTATAATCATTAGCTTTTCTAATTTCACCACTTACTAGTCCTGTGACTTAGATATGTTTTACATCTCTAGGTGGACATTTCCTAACTTATAAAATGGTCCTCTCATGTTCAGCTACTTTTTTTTTATAGAATAGAACTTGAAGAGAATAGGTGATTGATATTTTAGGCATCTACCATTATTCTATGAATGAGGATAGAATTTCATTTAAAGGAACTAAACCAAGTCGTGTAATCAAAATACTATTTTTAAACAAGCCATTAGATATAAACTGCCTTCATAATAAAACCCCAGTTAGCAAAATCACTTATTTCTATAGGAGTTCTCTACCTTAACCACCAAGAAACTTTTTTCTATTTAGCTATCTATCCATGATGTATAGATTTCTTCCTATTGGCATACTAGGGAACAATGGTGCCTACAATTGCAAATAATTCAGTAAGTTTTATATTGACTTAATGCCACTTTCATTTCTCAAGAAGTATCTTGAGTTTCCTCAACTGAATTTCCTGAACACAGCTGGGATTTCCACTGACAAAGGCTGCTACTGCTGCATTTCACATTCTGAAGCCCCGTGTAAGCCAAGGCTGAGGAACAAAACTAGAACTGAAGAAGAGAAAAGACTATACACTACATCCAGTCCTCAAATCTAGAGAACCTATTATCTTGAAGGTTCATGATTCCTAGGCCTGACCCTCCCCATTATAACGGGTATAATTTACCCTTAAATAGTTAATATCAAAAATAGCTCAATTAAAAAGTAAGCAGGATTCAGATCTATACCTTATTCAAACCACGTATACTTCTCCATCACTCCTAGAAGGCACCCAGGTCCGTGCTTGGTTTCAAGAACCCCAAAAAGGGCTCTAAGGCCCCACTTTGGGGCAAGACAATTGAAATAATGGCCTTGACCTAAATAAGGTCCACGTCGGGGGTTGACACTGCCCTTTCAGCCTAGGGCCATATCTTCCCCACAGGAGTCCCTGCCTGGCTGGTGTCATAGACTGTACTCTCGCTGTTCTCTGGGTTCCCCAGTGATCTTTGGGGCTCACTGCTGATCCTCCCACAAGGAATGGAAAGGTGCATTCACTTACTGGGAGGGCAGCGGGCGCTTGATCCTGGCCACCTGTGCTCCTTCGTGCTCAGGCCTCTCCTCCGTCTCCCCGCCGTAGCCGCTGTCCTCTGTGTCTACGCTGTCACTCTTCCACTTGGGCTCCTCCTGTTCCATCACCTTCCAGCCTTGGGTCAGCTCAGACACCAGGTTGGTGCATCTTCGCCTCCGAGTTGGAGAGTCGTGGCTGTGGAGGATCCTGTCGATGTCATTCTCCGGCTGTGCAGGTGCAGCCGAGTTCCCGTCCTGCTCATACCTGTGGCTAAGGTAGTTCACGTCGCCTCCTCTCTCATAAGCTTTGCTGACAACCGTTTTGGTCACTTCTTTCCTTTTGATAGGGGAGACCTCTGTGACTTCCTCTGAGTTCAGTCCACTGCCACATCCCTCTGCCTTCCGGGGTGGAGACTTGGGCTGGTGGGTGGGGGCGGGGTTTATTACTGATTTGGGGGCTTGGGATGGGTCCGGGGTCCCTCCAGGCAGCCACCCCACGGGCTCCTGGGCCTGCCTGGTACTGTTCTCATTTGCCCACTGCTGCCACCCTCGAGCCAAGTTAATGACCAGGGTGGCTGTCCGGACCTTCCGGAGGGCACTCTTGGCCGGCCCCTCCTCCCTTTCCCTGTCTCCCGGAGCCATGCTGTCCTGTCTCTTCTCTCCTGATAGCCCAGGCACCGGCTGAAATGAGTGCGGTCCTGTGGAAGGCCTGGGATTTAAATAGAAGCGGGTTTGTGGGTTAGGAAGAGAGCCTGGTGACGGTGGAAAGTATGCGAAGCATTTCTTGCCAAGATGCGATTCCTTCGCCCTGATGGTGTTCTTTTTTTATACCCTGATAGGTCCCGTTTCATCATGGCACAGGGACATGTCTTCTGGTAAAAGGACAGTGATATTATTACTCCTTTTCTTCTCCAAGTGCCAGAGTAGAAATTACTAGAACAAATCATGTGCTCGGCTTTATGATTTCCTTGACCTTAAAAGATGATCCTACCATTTGTAAGAGTACACAGTATGTGGACAGATTGTGCTAGGAACGTTAGAGACGGTTCTCAGTTAAATCTTAGTAGGCCTCAATAAAGTGGTTATTTATTCTTATTTTATACCTGGGTAAAAGGAAGTTCACTTCTTACTGCTAGTATCTGAGATTCAAAACCAAATAAGATTCAATGTTTGAGTTTCCTCTTATTCTGCTATCAAAGCTTTATCACCTTTTTATTTCCCGCTACACCACATTAGAAATAAACTTTTTAGGAAACATTTGATTGAATCTTCATTTCCAAATGAGAGAAAACTAGAAGGAAAACCTATGTCCAAATATGCAATGGCTCTTCCCTAGTATCAGGTTTGACTTCTAACGATGTCACATTTTTGTCTAATCATTACAAAACAGCACAAGATTTGTGTTACATATACATTGAGTTTTACAAATTAGTACCACGATAAATATTTTCAAATAATGTAAGTGTTTGGTTAAAAACCATATAACAAAAGTGGGTATTGATGGCTCATGCCTTGAAACCCTAATTCTCAGGCAGCTGAAATCTGAGGATGGCAGTTCAAAGCTAACCCAGCCAGAAACACTTATCTTTAATAAACCAGCAGAAACAAAAACAAAACAGAAATAGAGTGCCACCCTTGAGCAGAGAAAGCCAAATAAGAGTAAGTGGCCCTGCATGCAAGCCCTAGTACCAGTACACACACACCTTAAAACTACAAAAACTAAGTGAAAATTATCAGAAGCATATGAACATCCATTTTCGGTTGAATAACATAAACTACTTTAGCAGGCCTTTAGGCTCATGTAGGCAAGGCTATTTTTTCAATCTTGAAAATAAAGTTTGAAATTAATATTTTTTTGAAAAGAACTAGAAAGATGAGTCATGTGGACAGAAAAAGAGCCATCAAACAGTATATTAAACCAGATAGAAATGCACAGGACTCAGCACTGAATAATTTCTTACAGTAATATAAATAAGAGAATTAAAAAAAAATTATCGGCTCTATCAGCTTTAAATTATATCCTTCCCTCAGATCGTAACATACTGTTAATCTATTGATTGGAAACTGCTGTCTAAAGGCATTATAAACCTATGAAAGTTAATTACTTCTGATAGTGAGACATTTATTTTGAAAAAGTTGATGTCAGTTTTTCATCATGCCCGTTATTTATGCACTAGGAATAAAACAGTTTGGGGAATGATTAAATACTCTATCTAGAAATCTGACAGATGTGTTCTCAGAGTTCAGCAGCATCTGATAATGTTAACTGAGGGCCAACAATGCAGAGACAAAGTCCCTCCTGATTAATTAATAGGAAATTGGATCACAAGGAAAGAAGACTATTGCAAACAAAGATTTAAATCTGAGTCTGAAATTTCTGGCATTCCTTCCTGGAATGGGGAAGTTGGGTTCTTGTCAGACTCTCTTCATCCCACTGGAAGGCCTTGGGAAAAGAACAGGCTTCTCCGAGACCCTCAAGCAGAGACCCTCAAGCTCAGGAGCAGACTAATTTACAGCTTCCAAGGGATTTTTCTGCTTCCCTGCACACACCTGCTCCAGGTTCAGTCCTGACAAAGGGAGAAGAAATGGTGATAACAAAATGTTAATAATCTTTCCCATGTTAACAAGCATTGCAATCAGCTGCTGGGGGTGGGGCTGTCAGCAGATGGTATTGGGAGAAAAAAGAAGCTGCTTCCTAAAAGAATTGGTCATTCCTTCTGAGATTTAACCTCCATGGCAACAGTCAGTCCATTTATTCATTCATCCACAGAGCATGTGAAATCCTTTTCCTGCTAATGTCTACTTTGGGCCTTTCTAGCCTTGAACAAGGTTTGTATTCTTCTTACTATGCATATTTTGATTAGGAGAAAAGGTTATGTTTTCTTTCTTAATCTAGACCCAGATTTTTAGAATTTCCCTATTTTTCCCACTTTCATCTGTGGTATAAAAGATATGAAAAGAAAATATGAAAGATGAAAATGTAGAATAAGATCTGGTTTCCAAGAAGAGTTTCCTGTGAACCCATAGATTTTTGAAAGTGTTGGGGAAGTTATAAATCTGATGAGTGAAGTGATTATCACCTCTGAAAATTTTTCAGAAGTGTGAAAATGTTTTATTTTTTTTAAAGATCATGTGAACAGTAGTAGGAAAGGGAGAGATACATATTTATATGCATTTCATTTCATGAAACATTTAGAAGTCAGAACTAGCCTTCATAGGCAGCTAGGTAAGTAACCATACTGAAGAGATTTGACAAACCTCCACTTGCTCAAAGTTTAAACAAGGCAATCCTTTCTTTTTTCAAAAAAAGAACAGATTCAGTTTCTAAGATGAGGATCCACATTTATTCAGGTAAATATGTGAAATAGTCGGGGGGGGTTCAACATTATTTTATTGGGGAGACTATCCTGACTCTTTGAGCCTTATTGATGTCCTTGCAAAAGTTAGTTGACTGTATATACATGAATTTTACTTCTGGGTACTATTATGCTCCACTGAGAAATGTTTCTATTTTAGGCTGAAGAGCTCAGGGACAGAGCCCAGGCCCAGAGTTTAAGACTCATGACTGAGGGGGAATTAAAAAAGAGTCTCATGGACTTTCCTGCCCAGACTGGCCTTGAATGATCTTTAGATCTCAGCCTCCTGAGTAACTAGGATTATAGGGAGAGCCTGCACTGTGGTAGAGTACTGGCCTGGAGCTCCAGGCCAGTGCTCAGGCCTAGAGTTCAAACCGCACTACTGACAAAAAAAAGAAAGAAAAGAAAGGAAGGAAGGGAGGGAGGGAAGAAAGAAAGAAAAAGAAAGAAAGAAAGAAAGAACCATCCATCTTTGCAAGTTAGTAACACTAAGTTGGTTCACTTTATGTCTAGTTAGTCCTATGTTATAGTAAGTGAGAGATCTGTTTCAAAATTTTGAGGAACTCTGTAAAGCAACAGCATGCATTATTGTATCTTTGCTCCTTTAGTTGCACAATATAACACTCCCAGTGTGGTAGCTCCTTTAATCCCCCACCCAACCACCTTTGCCACACACACATAGTTGAATGTGACTAGGAAAACATGGAAATTTTCCAGTCTCCCTTTTAAATTTCAGTCATCAATCTCACATGCTGCTATTGAACTACTGTATTTCGCTTGTCTATTCATTCTTCTCTAAACCTCCAGCGCTGTTTCTCCCAGCCTTGCTCATCCTTAGCATTTCATTTGGACATCAGAACATCCCAGATAACTTGCTCTTAAATCCAACCACCTACCTGCATCCATGGCCATCTGCCTCTTTGCTCTTCATGCTATGGATTACGAAAAATGTGGACGGAGACTTTATTCCTTTTTTATTTATACATAGCTCCACATAATCCTGTGTTCTATCTTGAAATGTGTTCAGAACTTGACTGCTTCTCACCCCTCAAATTATCCTGCACCTACCCGACCATCCATAGTTCAATCTATCATAAACAATCTTTGTATGGATTATTGCTGCTGGTCCCTCTGCTTCTACTCTTATACATTTGGTATGTCTCAATATTAGCCAGATTCTTTTAAAATATAGTTGGATCCTGTCACTGTCTTCAAGACCTTCTATTTTTTTTTTGAAGTCACATTTAGATTAAAAGCCAACAACCTCACAATGGGCTGCAAATTCCATGCAATTTTGGTCCTTTGTTAGTTTCCTGATTGCCTCTTCTGTCATTTTCCTTCACTTCATTTTTCACCCTGCCTTGGTCATAACTGACTTCAAGTTCTTACCTGCCTCAAGACTTCTGCAGTAACTTCCCTTCTTTATCTTAACTTCCTAATGCCAATCAGTCTCCATATCACTGCTGCTTTATAGCTAAATGAATCATTAGAATTCTTTCTAAACAAAGGAGATCTCCTCTGTTAGGAGAAATGCTTTCTTCTCTATCAAATAAAGGGATAGTACCTACTTTTCTTTTTGCAGTGGAAACTAATTAAGCAGACACCCTACAGTTTGAAGCCAGAAAAGCAAAAAAGATTGAGTCAAAAAAAATGGATTAACAAACCTACTTTTTTGTGTGTTGGTATTGATGATTCATAGAGAACATGTGGCCAAAGCAGAGGCTGAGATATGAGTGAAGAAATGGTAGCAATGGCAGAGACTGACAATGATTATAACCTATACTTAGCTGTTGTCAAAGTTGGAAATGGATATTTGCACATAAGTGGTAGGTGAAATTAATTGGTTGAACATACAGGTTATAGGTAGGTGTTAGGATGAAGGAAATAGAGGCATTTGGAATATCCCAAATTTAATCCTAAATTTACATGTCCTGTTAACACCACTTGATACATGAATGGAAGTTTGGGTGTGGGGTTAGAAAAAAATAATAACTTACAAGGGATTTAGACTTGAAATTACCTGTAGGACATCCAAGGACAATCATGTGATAAACAGAGATGGAAGTTCTGGAGAAAGGTTTGGGCTAAGTCACAGAGCCAAGGAGAGTTACAAAAGACTAAGCCCAGGCACTCTGGCTCCAAAGGCAAGGCTGTCTCCTAACGCAAATTCCTTTTCTCTCCTTGTTTTCTACCCCCATGCTGAAGGACAGGACTTCACAAACTCATGACACAACTCTCTAAACAAGCTACTTATGCAGATCTAAATATAGAGTCTCTTAGCCCTGA